GTCCATCATGGACCACAGTGCAGCCTGCACACAGTGAAGAGCTCCTGGCCCAGGTCTCCACAGAAGTAGTTAAGTCTTTTGCACACTCTAACTTCACATTTTCCCTCCTACATGGCAGTGATGCCGTCTGTCTCAGTCCCCATCCTGAGATCTGATGGATTTCACCTCAAGTCTGGTGCCACGGGGTCAGTGATCCTGCATCTGTGTGACCTTCCTATGCCCTCTACTCACAGAAGGCTGTGGTCCATGAAGTCAGTCTTGATTTTTTCGAGACAGGGTTTCTCTGTAGCTTTGGAACCTGTCCTGAAACTAGTTCTTGTAGACTCACAGAGCTCTGCCTGCCTCTGCCTCCCGAGTGCTGGGATTAAAGGCGTGCGCCACCACCGCCAGGCTCATGAAGTCCGTCTTATTCCCTCCCATGCCCCCCCACTCACCACTTTGGGGAATCCCTTGGCGTTCCATGTTACCAGCTGCCGGTCTGACTGGCAGTGAGACGTGACCCAGGTGTATTGGTTAGGGCTGCTATTGCTGTGACGAAACACCATGACCAAAGCAACTTGAGGGGGAGAGTGTTTGACTTAAACTTCCACGTGTAGTCCTGTATTGAAGGAAGCTATGGCAAAAATTCAAACAGAGCTGGAACCTGGAGGCAGGAGCTGCTGCAGGGGCCATGGAGGGTGCTGCTCACGGGCTTGCTCCTTTGCTTAGCCCCTTCCCACTCCATATCAATCACTGGTTTAAAAAAAAAAAAACCCACAGGCTTACCTGCAGCAGCCCCTCTTATGGAGGCGTGTTCTCATAAGGCTCCCGCTCTGAAGGCTCTAGCTTGTCAAGTTGTCATAAAACTAGCCAGGACACTAGGCAGCTGTTTCTGTGCTGGGACCTGGGCACTCAGCCAGGTCACCACTCCTTAAGGTCAGGAGTGGCAGTGCCCATCCATCAAGCTATAGCATCAGAATCCTTGGCTGAGCCCAGTAGACACTGAGACACCTGCAGGGCTTCTAGCTCTGCCACCCGGTCCTACCCATTCTCTAAACCCAAGGCTTGTGTCTGGTCAGTGATGGCCTGTTGCTTAAACACCAAAAGGAGGCAGGGGGCCATTCCCTGTATCTCCTGAAAACGTCTGTTCTTTGTGTTTTTAGGGATGGGGTCGGTGTCTGTCTTCTGACATATTACTACCCCCCTCCCTCTCTGCAGTTGATTTATTTAAAGGTGTGTCAGCACCAAGACCTGATGAGGAGCTGGCCCCTCCTCCCTGCTGATGGCAGCCGTGCCAATAATTCATTTTTTAGCTCATTAGCTAACAGAGGCTGTGAGCAGTGGTCCTCCAGGGCATTGGAATGAGGAGAGGTGATCTACTGCCAGCTCCGCTGCTCTTGAACTGGCCTTCCTTGGGGACAATGAAACGCATGGCCAAGGGACCCGAGCATAACAATTGGAGTCACTGCTCCTTGGCACTGTGGTTTCCTAGGGTGGCGATGCTGACAGAATGGAACCAAAACTGTTATCAGAGTGTCCCCTCTCACTGGTGAGAGCTGTGGAGAAAGATGGCTAAGCCACCATAGCCGACGATCATATGCAGGGTGCAGGGGCTGGAAGTGCATGGTGGATAGGACTGTTGTCTGGGGAGGTCTCTCTTCCTGGCTTGCATGACCTTTCTGCTGCACATGGACCCCAGCCATGTGAGTTTGCAGATCTTTCTCAAGGACCACATTTAACCTTATCTACTCCCGAAAGACCTTGTCTCCAAATGAAGCCACACACGCGAACTTGGCGTCAACCAGTTTGACCCATGACAACAGAGCACCTTAGGCTTCTCAAACCTGTGCATACACACACCCCAAACTTAGCTTCTCAGACCTGTGCATACACACACCCCAAACTTAGCCCCAGCCACACTGATAACTATGGGATCTTTTGAATTAGCCAAGACCCTTTACCCTGGATGTCTGGGGCCTCCACACCTTCAAGGGACTCACCAAACGCCTGGACAAGAGCTGCTCAGAATGATGAGTTCTGGGGCTCTTATAGTGACAGGCAGCCACAGATTAGAAACCCCCAACACACCACAGGCGTCTTTGCTTGCCCATCACATGACACCACACTAGTCCATGCTACGTGCCTGACCATAACTGACCCTGAGTGGTTAGAGGTAGGTTTTCTCCAGTTTGCTGCCATGAAAGGGCTACTGTGGCCAGCGTGGAAGCCACATGGGTGGTCTTAGGTCTGGACAGCCCTGACTTCACTAAGTGTCACCGGGCCCATTTTAGAGATGGCAAAACAAGTGTCTGAGGAGGGGAAGGTGAGAAGAAGAGCGAGTGCTGAGACACTGAGATCTCCAGGAAGAAGAGAACGCAGCCTCATAGCACAGCATCAGTGGGGTTCCTTTTCCCTCAGCCATTGGGGAAAGCTCACCAAGTCACATGTTGGGGTGCACTTGTTAGGGTAGGCAGTGGTCAGACACACACACACACACACACAAAAAAAAACAGATTCTGAGCAGCAGAGAGAACTTGAGAGTTGATGGGAACAACTAAATTCATACCCATAAGCCTCCATTGCCCTGGACCAGGCTCTATTTCTATACAAAAAGGACTTCAGCTTAAAAAGGTGAGATCTGAAGCAGCCATGAAGCTCTAGTGAGCTCGAAGGCCAGAGGACCCAGCAGTCAGCATCACAGGGTTCTATGTTTTAAAGCTACACCGCGAGCGGGTCTAGGGCTCATCCTTGGTGGAGGCAGGGATCTGTGCTCAGTCTTTGGCTGGGTATTTGAATATTAAAATGAAATTTTAATCATTGCAGTTAAGACCAGAGTTCTGATGTGAAGTTCCCCCGTTACCCCTGAATGATCTGGCAATGACTTTTAAAACCAACTGGAGCAGAATAAGACAGTCTGATTTTAATGCCTACCCAAAAATGAGAGTTAGCAGATTGGAAATTGGAGGTCTGGACGTCTCCTACACCATTAGCCCTTCTCATTTAATTCACGTCTTGCACTTTCTCCTTTCTGATTTATGAACTACATCAACAAACGTGTAACATATTATAAACAAGCTCTTAAAATAGAACCAGGACCACTGGGGTTTAGGTCTTGCGTTTCCTGGATGTCCCCCACCTTTCTGCCTAAGTAAAGGGTGTGTGTAAGGGCTTTGCCGCAGTTCTGGGAGCCAGTTTATCTCCGCTGAAGCCAAGTGTTTGTCCTGGAAATCTCTGAATGAAGAGTCAGGGGTCACTTGGGGGTCACTCACTTGTACCAGGAAGTGAAGCAAAACTAATCCAGATTTACCCCTGGAAGAATCTGTTTGCCTAAGTATTTAAAACAGATTAGGGCTAACCTGACACTAGGTCACCAGGCGCAATGTAAACACTGTGCAGAGGTGTAAACGAGGCCTTTCTTCTGGGCCTCGAAGCAGAAATGTAATGAGTTTTCTTTCTGGAGGGTTGGGGGAAGGCCCTTGATTCCTTCAAGCGGCTGCTAGCTGTGTGTTCTGATTATTGCAGGGAGAGGCTCCGGGTTTCAGGAGTCATTGTGAGTCAGTGTCTTACTGAATCTGAGATAATTAGTCTCTGTGTGTGGGGTTTGCTTGCTCTCTTCATCATCCTGAAAAAGCCGAGCTCGGTCCTCAGGCACACACCACAGGCTGCTGGGAAAATTCTAAAGGCTACTCATGAAATAGTAGATCCTCTTTAAACACACACACACTCTTTAAGCACACACACATACACACACACACACACACATGCACACACACACATGCACACACACACACACACACACACACACACACACACACGCAGATGCGCACATACACTGCCCCTTTTCCTAGCAATGAGCTTAGTCAGGAGGACTGTGGAGTTCAATGTCTCATCCTTCCTCTCTGTTGTTTTGTTTTGGAGAAGCCAGCAATGTTTAACCTTGCTCTCCCAGAGCATAAAGGCAGCTCACTGGAGCCTCTCACTGTGTGCCCATGACTGGCCCGGAACTCACAGGCCCACCTGCCTCTGCCTCCCAAGTGCTGGAATGAAAGGTGTGCACCACCATGCCCAACAAGCCTGCCTTGATCGATATAAACACCACCTCCTAGGAGGTTTGCTTTCCTCCTTTTCTCCTCCACTCTGCCCCTCCTCCTCAGCTCTGCAGTGCTCCCCAAATGATAGACCCTGGGAGTGGGAGCTGCGTCCCTGAACCTCCTAGACCCCGGCTGTGCTGGAGGCTGGGGACCAGGCACCATGGTGCCTATCACATCGTCGTTGCTCTCCGCACTGCAGAGCCTTCCAGTCTCACCTGCCCTCTGTCCCTAGCTTTGCTCCAGCCTTAGAGGTTGCCCACCTTTTCTCTCTGAGATTGGGCCCTGGAACACTTTTCTCCAGAAATCAGCATTCCGCCCCCTTCCCCTTAAGCCTTCCACAAGTCTCCAAAGAGATGACATATTCCTGTGTGAACCTTCAGTGTCCCCTTCGTCTGAAGAGTGGGAGACCCTTGGGGACTCACACGTGTCTTCATCTGGGGGTGTGGGTGAGTCAAGAGCAAAGAACACCAGTCCCCTCAGATGACGCCTCTGCTGCCCCACCTCTGTCTCTTGCCAGCCTTAGAGCATAGGGACAGCTCACCTTTCTTTTAGGTCAGTATAAGCAAGTCTTGCTGGGGGTTGGGAAGTCCTCTTCCTTCCTTGCTCAAAGAAAGCCCAAGCCTTTGAGCTATGAAGCCTCTGTTTGCATTGCACTGATGCAGGCCCCCAGGCCATGAGCAGTGGGTAGGCTGTTCTTTCATCAGAGATTCTGACTCTGGAACCCCTGGAACCGTAGGGAAAGCTGTAGGCAGCAAGGATACCACTTCTAGAAACCACGAATAGAGGTTTCCCCAAGAGGGTTTTATCCCAAAAGCAGACTTTCCTGTTCCCTTCCCGGTCCTCCTAATCATGGTGGCTGCCAGAGCAGGGGTTCCAGCCTCTCTGTTCCAAAGCCCAGTCCTGAGTGTGCCTATCTTCTGACTCTTGTAGGGAAGAAAAGGAACGGTGGATCCGGGCCAAGTATGAACAAAAACTCTTCCTGGCCCCACTGCCATGTACAGAGTTCTCCTTGGGCCAGCAACTGCTGCGTGCCACCGCGGAGGAAGACCTGCGGACTGTCATCCTGCTCCTGGCACACGGGTCCCGGGATGAGGTGAATGAGACCTGCGGGGAAGGCGATGGACGCACGGCATTGCACCTGGCCTGCCGCAAGGGCAGCGTGGTCCTGGCTCAGCTGCTAATCTGGGTAGGTGGAGCCACTGTGGGGTCAGAATGCATCGTGCTACTGGCATCTCCTTCCTGTACAAGGCTGCCATGCCTGAGAGCTGACCCTCAAAGGATTGGAGCCTTACATCTGGGCTTACCTGCAGGAGGGCATGGAACAGCAGGGGAAGCTGGGTGCAGGGCGGAAAGGAAACTGGCGCATTTGCTCAGTGCTCATTTCTGAAGTGTCTTTCTAGTGGCCCCTCGGGTCAGACATTCTGCAGGGAGAGATACGGGGCTTGTTTCTCAATGTCATCGTCTTGCAGGCAAGGGCAGGAGCATGAATAACTTGAATGGCTTCTAGGCGGCCCCTTGCCAAACCTTGGAATCTTTACTCCCTGTTATGAGAGAGTGAAGGTACTGGCCCTAGGCACCGAGGTCTGATATGTGGGAGCTGTCACCCAGCCTCTCTCGCACTGCTTTAATGACTTTCTTCTCAGGAAAAACAAAATTTTATTTCACTTAAATTTGAATTTGAACTTTTTAAGAAACTGAAATTGTAACATGGTTGTAGAGAGAGGCCCTGCCTGTCCTGCCTGTGTGTGCTGAGCTGGGATGCCCTAGTGCCATGTCCCCAGGCAGCTTCCTAAACACCTCTTAGGAACATCTGCCACTCAGACCCTGGGGCCTCTCCTCTCTCTCTCTCTGTGTGTGTGTGTGTGTGAGAGAGAGAGAGAGAGAGAGAGAGAGAGAGAGAGAGAGAGAGAGAAGAAGAAGAAGAAGAAGGAGGAGGAGGAGGAGGAGGAGGAGGAGGAGGAAGAGGAGGAGGGAGGGAGGGAGAGAAGGAAGAAGGGAGGGAGGGAGAGAGGAAAGGAGGGAGGGAGGAAGAGAAGGAAAGGAAGGAGGGAGGGAGGGAGGGAGGGAGGGAGGGAGGACGTGTGCACACACCAGGAGGGCACCTCAAGTGTTCTTCACGCATTATCCACTTCAGGTTTTCTTGTTGCTGTTCATTTGTTGAGACAGGTTTGTTTGAATCTCCAACTCAGAGCACGCCTAAGGCTGCTTAAGACCTGGTAGCCACATTTGCCATGAGATACCTCTCACACCTTCCTCAAACCCAGGAGTGCTTTGTTCAGATTAAATTTGGCTTTATTAATTGGGTTTGATTGGTTTGTTACATCTGCGGTGATGGATTCCCATTAACCAGGGATTCAAAAATTATCAAGGTTATCTGTCTCATTGCCTTAACCTGGCCTAGTAGACAGGCTGGCCAGCATGCCCCAGGGGCCACTGCTCCACCTCCCCAGGGACCGGGATTACAAGCTTGCACCACCACACTCAGATTTTTGTTTTCAATATAGTTTAAGGGATGGTGCTCAAGCCCTCTAAATTATGAGATTAGCTATGTGATGACTGAGATACCTTACCCCAGTTTCTTCCTGTTTTTAATCCACATTTTGGAGTACAGTGGAGAATGAGAAGATGCAGGTTAAGTCAGGGTAATTGGTATTCGTCCTCACCCTCGCTGCCATTAAATGACGGTTGTGTTTGGTGTGCTTGCACTGCGGCAGCAACACTGCAGAGCACAGATACTGTGCTGTCGCAGCCCTGGAAGCTACAGACAGACTTCAGAACACCCAAAGGGCTCCTTTCCCACAAGGCTTTGCTCCTCAGCTAGCAGCTAGAACCTTGCTGTGGCCCCATGTGGTTGGTCTCTTGTGTAAGCATGCATCCTGGTGTCTCGTTCCTTTCTCAGCTCAGCAGATGGAGCCCCAGTCTAAAGTACTGGTGGCTCTTTAAGACTTAAACTTGGTAATTTGGGGGGCATAGCCTACCCGCACTCATCTCCTTCTCACGCTGTCCAGAAGCTCTTGATTGCAGTGTTCCATGTTCCTTGTGTGTCAGAAACCCCGCCATACACTGATTTACTTGAACATATGTGAACTGTCCTTATCAATGAGCAAAAAAACTTGTGCTATGTTTATGAGTTGTTGCTTTTTAACTTTTTAAAGATTTATTTATTTATTTTAATTCACGTGTATATACGTAAGTATCTGCCAGTGCCCGGAGGGCCAGAAATGGGTGTCAAATTCCCTGGAGCTGCAGTTACAGATGGAAGTGAGCCATGTAGTCTGGGTGCTAGGATCCAAATTCACACCCTCCGGAATAGCAGTAGATGTACTTAACTGCTCAACCATCCCTTCAGCAGTGACTTTATTTTATTTTTAGGTGTGTCCAGGCACCTATAGGGGCCAAAAATGGGTACCATAAATGAGTTACAGACAGTGTGAACCACCCAACCCAGCTACCAGGAATTCAGTTCAGGTCCCCTACGGTGACTCTACGCCATTGCTGCAGCCCGTTATTTTATTTTTGCAGACTGGGGACAGAACCCACAGCTCTGTGAACTCTAGGCAAGACTGTAGCACTGAGTCTCCATGCAGTTTCGTAGACTACATGGCCGAGTGAACTGGCTAGGCTAATCTTCAGGGCTTCCCTGGGCTACTGAGAAAGATTCAGCAAAGATAAACCTCTCCTCACTAGCTCTGCCAGTGACAGCTTTGGAACAAAATGTGCTCTAGCCGAGGATGGAGAAACTGAATTAGGCTTGTGTGTTTAGGTGTTACATAGCTATTAGGAGTCACGCTTTGGAGTAAGTTTTGATAATGTAGGAAGATGTTCAATGTCCAGTTCAGTAAGAAAAAAAAGCACAAATGATTAGAAAGGACCGAGAGTATAGCTTACTGGTATATTCTCAGTTAGCAGGTGCCAAGCCCTGGACCCCACCTCCAGTACTGAAGAATGGGAAGCGCACATACAGAAATAACAAACTATTGGCAGGGATTTTCCTCTCTTGTGCTGACATGTGTCTCTTATGTGTTTTCTGTTGTGAAACTGAGATGCCTCTGAGATCTTTTGAAAAATATTTATCTTTGGTGTGTGCGTGTGCATGCACACACACATATATACACGTGGCACAGCAGTCCTGCAGAGATCAGAGGGTAGCTTGCAAACGTTGGTTCTCTCTCTCAACACTGTAAGTTCTGTAGATCAAACTCAGATCTCAGTCTTGACAAGGACTCTTACCCCCTGAGCCATTCTTCTGCCCTTGCCCATTTATATACAACTGGAAAGGTAAAACGAAGAGCAAGGTTAAAGCCCTCTTTGCCCTGCTTGTGTGATATAAATACGGGTGGGGTGCTTCTCCTAACAGGGCAGATACAGATCCTGATCTCAACAACATGTGGACATTCGGTTTTCAGTTCCTCTCCGTCCCAGATGTCTCCACCGCAGCTCAATCCACGTGTCGGAGCTGACGGTGTGACCTACCCCTGCCTGCCCTCAGCTCCCCACGGACACTAACTCGTTCTCTGTTGCCTCTACAGTACGGGGTGGACGTCATGGCTCGAGACGCCCATGGGAACACAGCACTGGCCTATGCCCGGCAGGCCTCCAGCCAGGAGTGCATTGACGTGCTGCTCCAGTATGGCTGCCCCGATGAGCGCTTTGTGCTCATGGCTACCCCCAACCTGTCCAGGAAGAGCAACAGCAGGAACAACAGCAGCGGAAGGGCGCCCAGCATCATCTGAGCTCAGCCAACACTGTGCCTGGGATCCCATGCCCGCCTGCTCCAGGAGTCACAGCATGTGAGTTCCTCAGTCCCTCCCTCTTCCTGGTGGTCACTTCCACCCACCTGCCACTCACACACCCCACATGAAGTCTCCAAACCTGGACATCCTCAAGGGAAGAAGAGGAGGATGGAGGCCACAGAACCGAACCCTTTTCCCACACTCCGGAAGCAATGCAGGGGGGACTGACAACCTCCCGACTTTGAGGATAGCACACGACGAGGGACCCCTGTTCCACTGACCTGGAACCCGGGGGAGGGGTAGCAAGGAGAAGGGGCAGCTTCCCCTAACTGGCAGTTAAGCACATCAGTACATTTCACCTCGACCAAAAGGAGGCTTGGATTTCACATCTTCTCTGGGGAGCTTGACGGCATAAATCAGAAGCCAGCACAGTTTGTCAGGTCTGAAGCCCCTATGATGGTAGGTGTCAAATCAGTTGTAGCTAATCTGTCCAGGGAGAATACTGGCTTCATTACACTTGTATAGTCGAGTTCCTCCAGCATTACCGCTGTTTAATAGGACGTGATTAGTCATCACCGGGAAGAAGGCGTATTAGCCGAGGAGGTAGTTACATGGCACGCTCTGGTGATTGCCACGATGTGATTGCTGTGCGCTTAGAAGCATCATATTATCCCAGACATGTCTCTCCAGCCCTTGGAGCCCTCCTTTCTAAATTCACTGTCATAATTTAGTATCTGTTTAATTTTTCAGTCCAAAGAGAGGAAATCAGTTGCTGGGTATTATTTGACTGCACTCTCCTTCCTTGGTGCAAAAACAAAATGGAAAATAAATAAATAAATAAGAATAACCGGGAAATTCAAAAAGAAATCATGAATCCAGCTGGAAATAGCTTTTCAAGTATGCTCCAAAACTAAGTAAAAACATAAAATGCTATGGTTTTTTGTTTTTTTTTTCTAAGAGATTTTCTGTCCTTTGGCCACAGTGGATGTATCTGGCCTCAGTCACTCCCAATCCACAAGGTCTGAGTTATCCAGGTTTCTGTCGTAGAGAAGATGTGTGAAAATCTATTTGAATAAAAGAAGTTGATAAATATGCATTGATTTTTGTGCAGACAAATGGCAGCTCTGTTAATTTCTAAGTTGAGCTGGATGGGCACCAGTATTGTGCAACTAGCTGAGATCGGAGGGTGACAGATCAGTGCAATGGGCAGTGCCTCCAGCAGCAAGCACTTCCGTGAGTGTGGCGCGCAGCTCTTGAAAAGGCGCTTATCAGAACAAGATGGTGGGATGATTCGCTTATTAAAGCCAGGAAGCGAAGGGGGACGAGTGGGAAGGAGCCTGTGAGTCCACATCCCGAAGGCAGGATGGAGAGCCGAGGCCACTCTTCCCAACCAAAAGCGAGGGGCTGTGGCAAGAAGGGGTGCTTGTTGGCACCCTGTAAGCAGCTGCCCACCATTCTGGCACAGCTGACTCCTAAGAGCCTGCAGACTCTGTATGCTCCGTCCCGTCTGTTTCTAACGTGTGACTGGTTTGCCTTCGTGGGCCACAGGGTGCATCAGACACCAGCCACCTTCAGCACGGTGGTCAAGAACACCAAACTGTGACACTATTTAGTTTAAAAAAAAAAAATGAGGGGCAACCTTGCCAGAGAGCCCTCGTGGCAGTGTGGCAGGAAGAAGGCCATCACACTGGAAGACTGGGCAAAGCCACCCCCTGGCATCCTGTGGAGAAGCTCCTTGCTCTCATATATTGAACTTTATATTTTGTAAGAGTTTTTCCTCTTCTTTCACTTTTTAAAGAAAAAAATTTTAAGTAGACGGGAACAAAAGTAAAGCTTTAGACAGCATTTCCATGTGGGTGAGTGTCTCGTGGAGATCTCCAGTATCAGCGCGGCTGGGACTGACCAGGATCCAAAAATGTCACAGGTGCAAAAGCCACAGGCCTGAGACTCCTGAGCTCAGTTCCACGAGCCCTGTGTTTGGTTTTTCATCCTGCTCCTCATCACTGTGTCATTTCTGTTAGTGCGAATAGAGAAAGCAAGCTGTCATAGCCTATTTTTGAAGAATGCATTAGCACCCAACCCTGCACTCCGCATTCGCCTCCACGTAGCCTTTACCATAGACTTCTATAGAGAACACAGATAGAGTATAAATGAGAGTCTTAAATTATTTCATTGTAGTTAATTCCCACTATAGGAGTGCTTTTATCATAGGGGAGCCTGCTTCAGAAGGGAAATGGAGTCCTTCCTGAGGCTTCTCTTCGGGGTGTATATGAGTGTGTACATATTATTATGTTTATAATATGATATTTTCCCGATTGATTCCTTGTTTCACGTCACCCTCCACTGTCCGAATGCTCAGTTGCTCGCTCTGGTTGCCCCTCCCCCTCCCTTCTTCCCTTGGTCACTCTAACATCATCAAGTCTTCCTCAGAACACACGCCCCTCCCCTGCCAGTTTTAGCTGTGCTGAACTGTCCAAGGGGGCAGCCCCCTTTTCCCAAGCCTGAGTTCTGACCACAGGTAGAATGGTGGTGGTGGGGCCTCTAGGGTTCTCTACAGATGAAGGAGAGAAGCAGCCTAACCTGTGCCTGTAGTTCACCTTCAGACCCAGGGCCTCCCCTCAGTGAGAACCTTCTTTTTCCCATTTCCAAGCCGACCACCAAGGCTGCGTGAAACCAGGAGCAGGGTCGTGGGGAAGGGAGCTGGGGTTTCTGGAAAGCTCCCCCACGCTAGGCACTTGATTGAATGCAAATCACTTTTTTAAGGAGCATGTCAGAATAAGGTAGTGGGACAGTGGCCCGGAGAAGCAGGGGAGGGGAAGGAGCAGGTGAGTTCTCATTTTGGAACACAGCGTCAGAGCTGAGCCTCCCGTCCACCAGGAGCCAGGGCCTCCGAAGTAGCAGATGTGAGGAGCCCACGGCAAGTCCCTGCAACCTTTGTGTTCAGGGTGAATTTCCTCTTGTTGAGAAGTAGCCAGCTGGGGCCAGCAGCAGACTGGCCTGTGAGTTGTCCATCAACTGTCCCGGGGGCAGTCTAGCCTGTGGCTACCCCTGCTGAACCCCTAATGCCCTTCCCCAGGCCTGTGCACGGTGTCAGGGCTGGGAAGTGAAGCCCTCCTTATACTCCCCACTGCTGAGAAAACCCCTCCAAATTTTTTTTTGTCTTGTTTTCCGGAGAAAAACCAAGCGCTACTTTCCTACGGCCCCCGACTGTCACTCAAACCGAAGGTGAGGCTCTCTCCTCCAGCCTTGTACCTCTGCTGTGGATCCTCCACTCTCCTCCCTGCAGGTCCCGTGAGGCTGCTGGGACATACACACCATCAGTGCCCCGTTCCCGTTAACTTTGAGGATCCTAGCACCTCAGGCCTTGGGCTTCACTGCCCAACAATCCCCAGAGGAGCTTGCTCAGAGTGCTTTGTGGCATCTCCTGGGTCAAGACCGCAGTTGGTGGGTTGTGACTGAACCTGGTGAACCAGGGACCTGCCGGCCCTAAGCCTGAGCTGTACTCTTTAGTTGCCAAGGTTGCCACCATCCTGCCCTGAACTCAAGCTGTTTTATGGCTGAGATGGGAGCTCTCTACCCCTCCTGGGGACACGGCCCACAGCGCACGGGCACGGCTAGGAGGCGTGTGATCAGGGCCTCCGAGCTACCAGCAGGGCAGAGGGTTTCAGAAGCAAGCCCAGGCCTTTTGGTGGGTCTCGGCTTGTCTGTCTCCACCGTCACACCCTATAAAGTCCTTGAGGCTTTGCTAGACCTCTGCCAGGGTTGTATTTTGACTTTGAAACAAATTGAAGGGCAGTCAGGAAGGAATTTGAGCGTCTACAGAGTTTCTCCCCCACTGCGCCTGTTGTGAAGGCACAGCTGGAGGTGATTCCACTCTTGTTAGTTCCTAGAAAGCTGTCGAAGGCCGTGGGTGTCTCACCAGTGTGCAGCCTCCTCCACTGTGTGTGCCCCACCGCTGCCAGGCCTGGCTACCACACAGCGGGACCAGGAGACCCACGTGACCCAACTCTCTGTGCCTGCCCTGTTTGGGGGCCTTAAAAGCCACACTGAGGTAGATGGGTTTTTAGCTAAAATTTAACATTTCTCCTTGAGAGGTGGTAGAGGGAGGGGGACAGGCTCAGCATCCAGGCAGCACTAGTCCTCAGGCTTAGTCCCACCCTAGAGCTAAGAAGCAGCCATCTCAGCTCAGAGAAGCCAGCGCCAGAAGCCAGGGCTCATCTCTTCATGGGGAAAGAAACCACTGACCATCTGGGGCCTTGGTGTTTCAAGACGCAAAGTCTCTTGCTGCTCAGGAGCTCCGGCCCATGCTTTTGCAAATGCTCATATTTCTGTTTAGTCTCTGTGCCTGCTGCTCCTTAAACAGTGGTTTGCACCTGGGTCCGAGCTGAAGAGAGAGCATTTCACCAATTCACCGTCGATGACTCTAGACAGCCCACAAAGTTTCAGCAGGCCCAGGTCAGGCGTGTTCACATGCCATCAGCCCGGTGACTCCTTGCCCAAGGCAGTGCGCAGTGAGGGTCCATGGAATAGCCGGCCGCCTGGCCCTCATCTCAAGAGGCCAATTTTCCTATAGAAGAGTAGTATTTAGTTTAAGGTTTGCTCCTGTCTGGTCAAAGCTTTCTTCACTGAGGCCTCTCCCGTAGTGAGCCTCAGGTGAGTGTGGGCACCCAGCACTGGCAGCCGCGCTAGGGTCCAAGCTAGTGGCCTTGGTGAGCAGGAGAGAAGTCAGCTCAGGGCTCGTCTTTGTTCTGCTGGGCACATGGCATCTGCAGGGGACCCCGCGGGGGTCATGAATCAAGCCATATGATGGACTCTCCCGCCATAAGGGAGAACTGATCTGGAATTCTGTGTTCAGGGAATCACATAGCCTTCATCTTGTTTCGGGTGAAATGAAGGAACCAAGAGGTGTAAATGGGTGGGGGGGGGTGGGACTAGGCCCAGAGGAGAGCCCCGTGACACACTGCTACTAGGAACAACCCCAGGGTCCAGGTGCAGGACTGCATCCACACTAGCCCATGCTAACGTCTGGATAGAGAGGGCTCTCAACTGCTTGCAGAAAGACAAACTTAGCCAACTGCTGGTGGGTCTCGTGGACTCACTGAGGGCATTGAGTAGAAAGACCCATGTGGCCCAAAACAGAATTGTCAACAGCCCTCTTATCCACAGCAGAGGGCTCACAAAATGCCTGACCCACCTGGCTCATCAGGATGGGCAGAGAAGGGACCGAGGACGCTGTGCAGTCCAAATGTGGCTTCTGGTTCTTTCTCTCATGTGCACATTGCTCACCTACCAGGTCCTGCAGTTTTCTTACCAGGGTGGTGCTGAGGGTACCCAGGGCAGTTGAGTGGAGACCAGGCTGTTGTGTGATGGACAGGCAAAAGATACCTTTGAAACGTCCCTGTGACCAGAAGGGAAAGACAGCTGCACCTCCCTGTTGAAAATAACCCTTCTCTTATATGTAAAAACATCCTTTTCCCTCCCTACACTGTGGGACCTTTTGTGTTTGATTTTGAGGGGGTGGTGGTAGTGTTCTTCTAAACCCTATCAGTTCTCAAGATCCTCCAGCCCTGAGCCTGGGGAACTGAGCTCCAGAAAGGCACAGAAAGTGGCTGGTCTCTTCCAACGGCAGAGGACAGAACTCGTGGCATCCTCTCTTGCCCTCTTCCCATCCTTTCTCCTAGTCCATCCTGAGTCCTCATCTTGCCACAGCTTCTTTGCAAAGAGAAAACCCAGGCAAGGCAGGGCGCCCCTGGCACATGTCTGGGTGGGGGGGGGGGCAAAGAAGGCTACATAGAAGCACAGTGGGGGCTTCTCCAGAGGTGGGTGTCTGCCCGGGGCATTTTGATATTACCTCATTCCATAACTTTGTGTTTCCCAGTGACTGATGCTTTATTTATGCTTGTTTGTCCTGTAATTAAACCATCCACAGACATTTCGCTTTGCTTGTTCAGGTTAAATATGCTGGTTTGTATTTTCCTGCCTTGGGATTTTGTGTCAGGTGTACAGTATTCTGAGGGGAAAAAGAAAAGGAAAAGCGTGTAAAGTAACAGAGAGAGGTGGCTATAGAGTAGAGACCTCTTTCTAATAAAGAAATGAAAATATGTATCTACGGCTTCTGTTGTGTGTCTTCTTGGTAGCAATATGTCACAGTTGGTTTTTCTCACTCCCAGGAAGGTAAATCAGACGAGGGGCTTCAACTGCTCTGGGAATGCTTGTCCTGGAGACAGGCCACCATATGTGAGGGAACCAACCCCTCAGCCTGCAGCCAGAGACTCAGGAAGCTGGACAGATGTCTCCTCCATGTCACCAATCACAGGGGTGGGAAGCCCGATGCTTTGTGTCTCACTATTGCCCTGCCCACCTTCCCCACGTGACTGACAGGGAAGCCGTAGGCAGCTAGAAAATGGATCTCTCTCAGACATGCCAACTGTCAAAAGTATCATTACAGCTTTCTCACACAAAGAGCATTATACAATCACTCCCATATTACAAAAGGAGGTAACACCCACCCCGGACACACCCACCGCATACACACCCACCCAACATACCCACAGCGTACACACCTACTCTGGACACACCCACCCCAGACACACCCACAACCCTCAGCAGTGTTCCCGTAAGGAATACCCACAGGTGCTTCTGTGAGAATCCTGCCTTTGGACCCTTTCCCATGGCACAATTTAATGGCCTGCAGTGCACAGGGTGCCAGTGGAGACTCCACACCTAGGGCAGCTTGACACTCAATATAAGTGGCCACACACCCAGCCAGCACATCCTCTGGAAGATAAAGACTGTTAGGAGGCTTTTAGGAGGTGCTCCAACACACTGGGGTTTTCCTCCATGAGAGATTTACAAGCAGCATGGATAAACAGCCTGGACAGTTTGGGTTGCTCTGCGTCTGGTCACCCAAACATTTGATCTGTGACCCCCAGTGTCTAGAATGCTGTTTTTCAGAATGCACTCCAGATGGAAGGATGACCGGGGGCGGGGTCACAATGGAAATCCCTCGGGGCTCTGATTACAATAGTCACTCAGGCCCACACAGAGGGCAGGAGTGTGAGGTTGGTCGTCTGTTGAGAGTGAGGGAAGCCGCAGCCCGTGGTCTCCACCATGCCATTTTTGTTCAGACAACATCCAGTCAGAACAGAACACTTCCAGAGAAGCCGTGAGAGCAGACACCAGCTCTCCTCCCACCTGTCTGTCCCCAGTGGCTTTGTCCCCACCATCTCCAGAGTTGTAGGGCCACCTCAGAGGGGTCTCCTTCCCAGGAGGACCCAGCTTCTTCAGGACCCCCAGAAGAGGGCTCTGAACCCCCTTGCCAGGACAGTGCCCTAGGAAGCACTCTTGGGTCGGAAACAAAACTTTGTGTTTAGATCCTGTTTCTTGTTTTGTTCTAGGGGTCAAATCCCGAGCCTCACACACGCTGGGCAAGCGTTCGACTACTGAGTCACAACCCAGTCTGTCTGCTCAGACCCGTGTTCCGTTGGGTGTGTGCAGATACTGAAGGGTAACTTGGAGGAGGTCGTGCTCTCCACCCACCTTACTGAGGCAGGGTCTCTCTTGTTTCTTGCCCCTAGTGCACAGAGACCTGCCCTAGGCTAGCTGAGAACTACAGAGTGATCGCCCTTTCTCTGTCTCCTGTCTTACTGCAGGAGCCGGCCCTACAGAGGCAGGCCACCATCTCCATCGCTTTACATGGGTTCCTGGTATCCGGTTTACATAGCAAATGCTTTTTTTTTTTCCATTTTTTTATTGAGAAAAGGAGAAAAAAAAAACAAGTTTCCATCTCCTCCCAGCCTCCCATTTCCCTCCCCCTCCTCCCACCCTTCTCCCCCTCCTCCCACCCTTCTCCCCCTCCCCCCACTCCTCTCCCCATCCCTCTCCAGTCCAAAGAGCAGTCAGGGTTCCCTGCCCTGTGGTAAGTCCTAGGTCCTCCCCTCTCCATCCATTTCTAGGAAGGTGAACATCCAAACTGGCTAGGCTCCCACAAAGCCAGCACATTACGTAGGTTCAAAACCCCGTGCCATTGTCCTTGGCTTCTCATCAGCCCTCTTTGTTCGCCATGCTCAGAGAGTCCAGTTTTATCCCATGCTTTTTCAGTCACAGTCCAGCTGGCCTTGGTGAGCTCCCAATAGATCAGCTCCACTGTCTCAGTGGGTGGGTGCACCCCTCGTGGTCCTGACTTCTTTGCTCATGTTCTCCCTCCTTCTGCTCCTCATTGGGACCTTGGGAGCTCAGTCCAGTGCTCCAGTGTAGGTCTCTGTCTCTATCTCCATCCATCACCAGATGAAGGTTCTATGATGATATGCAAGATATTCGTCAGTATTGCTATAGGATAGGGTCATTTCAGGTTCCCTATCCTCAGCTGCCCAAGGAACTAACTGGGGACCTTGGCTTGGGCATCTGGGAGCCACTCTAGGTTCAAGTCTCTTGCCAACTCTAAGGTGGCTCACTTAACTAAGAATTGTGCTTCCGTGCTCCCCTATCCAACCTTCCTTTATCCCAATCCTCCTTTTTCCCCACATAGCAAATGCTTTTACCCACTGAGCCATCGCCCTGGCCCACCAGCCACCCCCCCATCCAAGGTTTTCAGTGTGGTCACTCAGTACTGGTCAGGATGACCGGCCCTTGTGCAAGCAGCTGTACAAATAGAGACTATGGAGAGGATGAGAGCACCCCAGCTCTTCCTCAACCGTAGATCCAGGCGACACGCTGCTGTCATTGTGGATCCAGAGGAGAGCATGCGGAAGAGTGAGCGAATCTACCACGTGGGAATCCTAGGAGACGGGACCTCTGACATCAGCACGTGAGATGCCCATCCCTGTGCTCTATACAACAAAACTAAAAAAAAAAAAAAAAAAAAAAACCTCTCAGGCCAACAGGGAAAGGGGGCGATGATGATGACATGATGACACTGTTGGCTAGGGCCTGGGAGCCTGGAGTGCAGATGTAGAGTACTTGCCTAGTATGAACAGGAGACCATGGATTCAGTCCCAGTGCCGCCACCAACACCACCACACACACACACACACACACACACACACAGAGAGAGAGAGAGAGAGAGAGAGAGAGAGAGAGAGAGAGAGAGATTACTAGATTAGAGAGCTTGGGGCTGAAGATGTTGCCTAGTTAGGAGAATGCTTGCTTAGCATGCATGAGGCTCTGGGTTTGATATAAGTGTTGAGTTCCTTTCATTCCAAGTACTACAGCGTTGGAGGAAAGATGGAAGTTCAAGGTCATCTTAAGCCACACATCAAGCTTGATGCCAACCCGAGCTACATGAGAGAGAGCCTGTCTCCCATATGTGTTTGTCACCCGAGGGAGTGCTATAAGCAGAAACGAGGGCGCAGGTTATGTTTAAGACTGCCCTCCATAAACCATCGTTTAATGTATTAGGGATTCAGAATGCTAACGGAGCTCTGAGCCTTCTGAGTTCTGAGCTCCTTCCTTTATCCTTCTCCCCATAGGCACTGAAAGAGTGATAGAGGTATAGGCCAAAGCCCTGCGTTCTCCGCGGCAATGAGGGAAACGGGTTGGACTATTAATAATATATTGTTCACTCATGCTGAGGTTGGTGAACCAATTGGCTAATTGATTAATAAACTCCTTTGTTACAGAAACAAATTGATTAGGAATTAGGAGGCATTAAGGTGAGGGGCAAAGCTTACCGGAGAGCTCTGAGGGCTGCAGCTCCATCTGGCCTCCACAGCAGCCTCAGCATGTGGGCGGAACCCTCCAGGCCCCATGGGCCTGCCTGTGACCTCCTTAATCCCTGGACCTGGATCCAAGTGCGTGGACATGATTCCCTACTCCCAGCTCCTGGTCTCCCACAGGCCCCAGGCTGGCTCTGAATCCTCTGCCCTGGCCACCCTTGTCCCTCACAGCCTCCTCTCTGTAGTCAGTACCCCTCGTCCTGAGCACCTGATCTGGTTTCTCCTCATTGGAACTTCTTCACTGCTCCCTGTTATTCTAAGGGTTCTGTCCAAGTCTTAACACTACAAGCTCCACCTGCCTGCTCCCGTGCTGGGCTGTCACTGTGACACGTCCTCACACACCCTCTCTCTGCAGCTCAGGACCCTTTGTCCACATTTCCCTTACCCTAGAAGACCCCATTGTTGCTGGCCAGTCCCTTACCTTTAGGGGGGTCACAGATAAAATGACTCTTCCTCAAAGATCACATTTAGTGGCCTGACCTCCCCGGAATCCTAGGGCTGCCACTGCAGACCCTCACAAAGTCTCAAGTCTTCTGTGGCATTCCCTGTCAGCTCCAGGAAGCCAGTCTGTCAGGGGCATCCTGAGAGCCAGGGTCCAGCCTGTGTTTCCAAGTAAATGGGAGTAGGAACGAGACCAGACATGGCCTCTGCCTCCTTTGCGACGTGTGCGTGGTGAGTGTCCAATTCCAGAAACACCTCCATGGCGGTCATTTCCGGAAACAGACCTTCAGTGCGGCTGTGGCGGGGCTGGAGGTGGCCCTTCAAGATGATGGCAAGAGCCTTCTGCCCTACATCCAGGAATGTCCTCCCGCCATTCTCACTACCCTCCTACCCCAGTGACCTTCAGCACTTCAGCCCAGCTTCAACCAGAAGAAGCCCCCAGTGCCAAGACACCATTGTTGATATACAAGACTCTCGGGTCTCACCTACCCATTCATGTGGGTGTCTGGCCCCCACAGGGTCCCAGTCGTTCCCTCCCCTGCCCTGTGGCCTCCCAGATCTTGCTGCACAGCTGCCCCTCGGCGAAAGCTTTACCCTCTGATCCAACAAGAGTGGAAAGAGTTACACTCAGTCCTGTCTCCAGCACGTTCCAAGCAGCCGCTAAGCCACAATTTATCACCACTAAAGTCCGGTAAGGCGCCTAATTGGCCCATAAATGTGGTCCAGTAACCGCACCTGACACCCAGAGACACTGCAGGCAATTAGCACTTATTTATTTGCATATGGTATTGACCGATCTTGGCAACTAGCTTGCAAGATCTGTTTATTTTAAACACTGGAGGGGGAAAGAAAACCCTCATTTAACTGCACTAGAAAGGAACTTCCATCACACACACACACACACACACACACACACACACACACACACGAGCGTGCACACTGGCAGGCA